GCACGAAATTCAAACAAAACAAACAAATTATCGATTGTCAGACGGAGATAAGTAAATTAAGAGATAGGTGATATTTAAAATTAGCTACGAATTGTTCAGCACATGGGCAAGGAATAAATTTACCCTCCAGTTTTGGAAGTAAAACTCAGTATACTGCTGCGTAATTAACCTTAAAGATCCCTATTGTACAAGAATTATTAACTGAAGAAAAACCACAATTAATCAGAGTAATAGAAGCAAATTCAGAAATTACCGAATTAAAAAGCACATTAGCAGAAACAGAACATTTACCCTCTAAACGATCAGGATTAACAATTAAGGAATTTCAACAGGGTATAGAACACTTGCAATCTACATCAAAGAAAAGGGGTTTAGTTAAATGGAAATTATTTAATTCGGTGCTGATAACACTATGCCCATTAGTACTCCTAATAAGCATACAATTTTACAAGGCACAAAATAAATAGGCTTGGACCAAAATATTAAAATTGGATCTATTATTAAAATCCAAGAAGAGAAAGTAAAACAATTATGTAAGCCATTACGTTTAGTCAGCTTCTAACTCTCCTTAAACTTTCCTTCTCGGGATGAAGAAGAATTTCTTAAATGGCTGCTCTAGTTAAGAAAACCAGAAAGAATTATCAAATACTGTGCTTTTACATTACGTAAGACAGTCATTGTCTGTTATGCAGCTATACTTAGATTACCTACGTCAACGACTACTAAAAATAAGTAGAGGGGGCAGAACCCCAACTCCTACCAATTTGCACAATTACCTGTGTCACTCCTTTACATTGGCTAGTCCTGACCCAGAGAGTTGAGTTAATCACAGGGCCAAACTCCTGCAGACTTTTATCAAGTAACTATTTCCATATATAACCTATGACTAAGCAAAATGATTTGTACATGTTTAAGACTGTTGCATATCTGCTCGTTTGTTAATTTCCGGTATAAATTCTTTCAGAGGAACTTCAGCGATAAAAGTCCTTTCTTAATGAAAATTAGTTTATTCTTTCTCGATACAACTTTATAATATAATATACAGAATTTTCACAGTCACTTTAAACTTAGTAACTTTTACAACACACGCTATGAATCACAGTGATTCACACACTTTACTAACGGTGCCTACTGTTTGCTTGACTCAATTATCTATATATTCGATCTATCTATATTTCTTCTATCTATCTGCTCGATCGCGCTAGTTTTTCTCGCCAGGCTTATATACTAAAAATATGGCACCTGGCAAACACTCGGAGATTCGCAAGGTTCCTCGATAAGTCATGATCCTTGAAAAAACTCCAGCGCTCATGCTCCCAGCACCACGTGACTTCTGCTGTCGTAACACTGCCCCTTCCTTAGTATTGTTCGTTCTGAACAATAGCCACTTGCATTAAACCAATAGATAATTAACAATAACTTAATTAAACGTACAGCATTTACAAACACAAAATTAAAATACAACAAAGTCTCTTAATTTTACAGATCGTATCTTCTTTCATACTGGTCTCTGTCTCATTGGCTTCTGCTTCATATGGGGTTCATCTGCTTCATCAGGAAATGTCCTATCGATTTTACTGGATGGGTGTGAGGCAAGATTGGAAGAATGGTGCAGGACCTGCAGTATATGTTGTGCTAACGGGGACCCAAGCATAAGGGACGTGCTCCAATGAAGTTATATCAAGTTGGTGAACCAATGGAAATAGTAGCTGTTGACATTGCTGGTCCATTACCCGAAATCGTGCTGGAAACAGGTACATTTGTGTGGTGATGGATTATTTCACCAAGTGACCTGAGGCATCTGCAATACCAAATCAGGAAGCTACAACTGTAGCTTTGGCTATTAGTGATTTCTTCTTAAGGTTTGGTATGCCATACGAACTGCATTCTGATCAAGGCCGTAACTTTGAATCAGCTGTGTTCCATGAATGCTGCAAGTTGTTTGGCATACGAAAGACCAGGACAACGTCACTCCACCCACAGTCTGATGAGATAGTATAAAAGTACAACTGGACACTGGGACAGGAATTGGCAAAGTTTTGTAATAGTTGCCAAGATGACTGGGATGTCTTACTCCAGAACTTGATCTGTCAGTGACTATGCAACAATAGCAAAATAATCTTTAGCTGTGTTTGTGAATG